AGCAGCAGCGGCAGTAGTGGTGGTAGTAGTGGGCGCAAAATGATCCGTTTCCCTGCGCACCTGGTCTGCGGAGACGGGCGTGTTTCACTTCCATGTGGCCTTCTAGTGTCGCCCGATGCAGTCTGTTCCTAGCTGTTCTGTTAGTAGGTTTGCCTTTTAAATACACATCGCAACTAGAGGACCCTGTGGGTCAGCTCGTGATGAGAATATGCATCCTACTTGAGGCCCGGTGTGAGTTGTTAGTTGTGAATGTGAGATCTTGAAGTGATTGCTGGTACTTGGACCTGGGGTTACGACGTTGAGCTCTTTTATCTGCCGCCTTGCGGCCACATGAGCCTCCCTGCGAACCATGGAGCAACCTCGCGTGCATTGCCGAGTCGCGAGAGTCGAAACCCTAAAAGGGTTAGTGTGGGTGCGAAATGGGTGGCTGCGAAACCCTGAACCGTAAAAGGGCTGGGTGGGTGCGACACTCTGAACCCTAGAAGGAGGGCAGCGCGCTGTTCCGGTAGCAAGCACAGACCTTCGTCAGCCATGCCAGCCTTGTGCGAGTGTGTGAGTCGAAAAAAGGAGTGGGTGAGGAGCCTTGCCTGCCGTGTGCGAGAGTGAGACTCGAACAGGAGTGGGTGGCTACGAAACCCTCAAACCCTGCCCTCGAACCACAAGCCTCGCCTGGAGTGTCCGAGTGTGAGCGCCAAAAAAGAGTGGGCCTAGGAGACCGGTGGCTGGCGTCCAGTCAGGGTTTTAATTCAGTGCATGCGGAGCCTACGGCTACGGAAAGCAACGAGCGAGAAAAAGAGTGGGTGGTGCGAAACCCTAACAGGAGTGGGTGGGTGCGCAACGCTGGGTGTGAAACCTTGAACCCTAAAAGGAGAGGGTGTGCGCGAACCACACGAAACAGGGTATGTGCCGCATGTGCTGTGTCGGAGCCGCAGCGCCAGTCGATGTCACAAGCCATAATCGTCTCAACCAGCAAGTTACAACCAGTGGGCTTAGTCTTATCCACATCGCTGATGCTGTCATCTGCCGAACCACCCGATCAGAAGCATAGAAAGCTGTGGGTGGATATGTTGCAGAGCCCGTGCTCACAGATGCGAGACGGGCTTCGTGCAGGCACAGGCAGTATCCTCCAGTCGCTTGGCGGTGCGCCGTCAACTGCAGGCAGAGCTGAATGCATGCCGCAATCTCGGAGTGGTCACTGATGCAGATTCCGTCCACACTTCCGTCGTAATTTTACTGTAGCGTTTGCTGGCCCATTTGGCAATGCGGTGGCATGTTTTGTTCCTGAGACGATTGGCTTCCGCTCGACATGGACGGGAACGCTGTATGTGATGAACCTGGCCCATGGCACGCTGAATGTTCTAAGCCCTTGCGTAAGGTGCCGAAAACTTCAGCAAGGAAGCTGCGTGCCAGCGTGGGTTTCCAAGCTTTTGTGTATGCGGGGGCTAGCTATAGGCTTTGGCCACAGTTCTACCAGCCTCGCGCGAAGGCCGCTCGACAGAGGCGCTGCGTGTGCAGCGTGCCTCCCTCCGCTGCGAGGCCGTCGAGCTTGGGCGAGAGCCAGGAGCACAGCCGCAGCAAAAGCACCTGGCAGTTGCAAGTTGTCGCGTGAATCTCAGGCTGCAGGGCTGTGTGGGCCGCGGAGACGAACTGGTCTCCGAGAATCTGCGGCTGCGCACGGAGGCAGCGTCGCTCGAGGAGGCCGAGGAGCGCCGAGCGCGCGCAGCCGCTGCAGCCGCCATTTCTGACGTGCGCGTCACTGTGGGACGCAGTGTGTGTGTGCCCGCGCACCAGCACGAGGGGAAGGGAGATGGCGGGTGTGCGTGCGAGCAGGGTAAACATACAATAAGGCCTGACCTGCGGTTGCGGCCAGTTGCAGCTGGGCATGAATCCGACTCAATAGCACGTGAGGCAATGAAATGGGCAGTAATTTCACGTGCATGGCGCCAGTTCGAAGAATCGCATGGATCTGTCAACCAGTTTTCTGGGAGTTGTGCAGTGGAAGTGCCCGCAATGCTCTGCAGCATTTTTGGCTCCGTGGTACGTGCAGTACCAGCCGCAGCATCAGAGCATGACGGGGGCAGGTTTCAGGCGAACTTCGGTAGACATTCGTGACATGCATGACATGTATGGAAGAATCATTGAGTCCAGTCGCTGCTTTCATGTCAAGCTGTGCTCGACCTCTCCGGTTGTCTTAGCTGTTCTCCAGGCGCCCCTCACGATCCCGCTCACCTCGGGCTTCTCAGGCCTTTGAGACTCGGGCTATCTCTCGCTGTCATGTTTCCTCTTGGAGAGCACGAAGTTGGCCCAGGGCAACCGATATGCCTACGACAGTCGGCACTCTGAGGACGAAGGCCCGAAGCGACAATGCCGTTTCGTGGCTGCAGCTCTGGAGTCAGGGACCGGCGCGGGCGGAGTGATTCACCCAAGGTTTCTGTGGTAAATGGGAGATGTGCGAATTTGGCCGAGATGAGGAGTTCTGCAGCAGTTTGGGCCTCGAAGCTGTCAGTGCCATCTTGTTTCAAGCGGATGGTTTGCATGCGTCGTTGTGCCCCCGGTGATTGCTTGTCCTTGGAGGTAGCTGTTACATTGACGCTAGCATCCTGGCTGCACCCCGGGACGGCGGGTTGAGAGACTGGAGATGAGCGCTTTCGAGCGGCCAGACAAAACCTGCTATCTCTGCCAGATCTCAAGGAAAAGTGAGTGGCACCGATTGGTACCCTTCCTCCTCCTGCGCCTCCGCCTCCTCCTCCCACCACCACCGCCGCCACCACCNNCACCACGGCGACGACGACGACGACGAGTAGTTTGGAAGCAAGGAACGCAAGTCTCCAATAGCTTGTGACACAGCACGGGCTTGCTTAGGCTTAGGTTGCGCCAGAGCAAGATCCCACAAATGCTACTTGCCCAATAGCTTGACGAACCGGACGTTCCAATTTAATTCCTCAGTAGCTGAGGACCTTGCAAGTTGTAGCAGAACAGGACCCTGCACAATGGAATTCCCGAACAGCTTGTCGTGAATCGTCAACGCAACCCATGTATGCCATATGCAATCCAGGACTTCGGGTTCGATCATGTTGGGATGTCTATCAATTTCCCGGCTCAAAGCCTCCAAACGTTGTCAGGCAAGGGCGTTGAGGCGTTGGACTGGGATCGATCCGAAGCCGCATCGTGGCTACACGTCGAGGCGTGTGAGTACGGATGTCGAGATTCCAGAGATTTTTGATGCCAGAGGGTGAGGTCCTGGTAATTGTAGTTCGCCGGAACTGGTGTTTTACTCATGTTGCTTTTTTCTCGTTGGGCCGCCTAGGCCAGAACTCTCTCCCTGACATTGCCATTTGGCCAATAATTCGCGCTTCGTACCTTCTCTTCTCACGGTGATCATTCAATTTCCTTGCCAAGAATAGATCATTTAGTCAGTCAATTTAGTTCTTGGTCTCAGACCGCGGTAGAGCAGCTGCTTGGAGCAGCAAGGGCCCTTTCTGCTCGTTCTTGCCCCAGGGGCTGGATAGATGGAAGCGCCAGCTCGTCTCTGTTCTTCGGGACGGCCATTGCCTCTTGACAGCGCTGAACGAAGGCACGGGTGTTCTGGCTTGGCTGCATCTTACAGGAGTGGGTTCGGCGCAGGTGTGCTTCGAAAAGTTGGTGTTCCGAAGAGGAAGGCCAAAGAAGTGATGCATCTCGGACTGCAGCAAGCTCGGAAGAAGAGGCATTCCGTCTTTTGACGAGACTGTGACGACACGCTTGAGGGTCTGCCCCGGTACTGAAGACAATGCAACCCAGAGTCACCAGTGGGAAGCCTTCAAGCCAGTGCTTCTTGCACGCGACACTCCTGCCAGGAACTCCAGGGGCAGGGAAAGTAGACCCGAAACACTAAATCCTACATGCTGAGCCAGGAGTTTCCCACCCGGATCACGGACCGCTGCTTCTCACACGCGGGCTGTTTCGAGTTACTCCCGGTGTCTGTTTCCGGCCCTGTTGACAATACCCAGTCTTTTTCTGCTGCCTGCTGCAAACATTAACTCTTGAAATTTATGCTCTCCAGTGACTACTTGTTATCTTGCATGTCTTTTTCCAGTGCAGAAGGGTTTTCCTGATGATGTTGATGCCAAATTTCTGGCCCCGAAGGGTGAAATTGGGGATGCTATCATGATCTCCTCAAGACGGACCCATAAATCCCACACCCCCACGATGACACTCATGAGTCTGGAATTCCCAAGCTGCGCATGGTAAGCCCCGCAAGTGCCGATGCAATGACGGAGTCCAGTCGAGGCACGATGTGGAAGACCTTCGCCGTGGTGCCTGGGCACAGCCAGAGCCACCGAGGGAGGTGCCAGCTGTAGTGACTCTGCCAGCTAGCTGAGCAGCTGCAGAGTGCGCTAGCTCTACCCGTCGCATTGCAGGAGGTTCCGCTGCCCACGGTGACCGAGCTGGGAAGCAAAGTGCGGCAAGGCCAGGGAGTGGCATTCCTGAGAGGGAACAGAGAGAGAAAGCTCCGCCACGGATCGAGAGATGGGGGAGAGGTTGGCAGTACATGCTCAAAGATGATGCGCCTCGCTGCCTGGCGGCAAAAAGAAAGGCAAAAAAGGCAGAGGCCCTCTGGGAAGCGCTCGGACTCCTCCTTGCCTAAGGCTCCTACTCCTCGATGTGCCGCAATGCTGTGCCGCAGGCCAAATTCAAAATGGGTTCTGCAAAGGTTGCAGGTGTTGAGCCGTGGGTCACGTGGGCTAGCGACGCAGCCGAGCAAAGTTTGACCTCCCTGCAGGACCTCGCATGGCGCTGGTATGAGCAGCTCCGCACACAGCTCCAGTGGCAGGACATGTAATCGCCGTACATCAGAGCAATCATGGGTGTGCTGAAATCGGCGGAGAGGTTTGAGACACCGTGAATCATGTAGATAATGCTTTCTGCCTGGGATGCCTAACTTGGGGGGAGAGGTAAGTGGGGCCCTCCTGTGGCTCGCACGACAGCCTCCAGAAATGGCATGGTCTTCAGCAGATAAGCTACTCTGTCTGATGGTTTTCGTGGGTCCGTAGGAGAGGACCACTCGAACAGTTCGAGGTGGTTATTTTGTCCTCAGCTCCAACCCTGGTGTTATCAGCTCAAACACAGCCGCTTACCAGTGCATCCACTAGGATGGAATCGAGCCAGCATACCTCATTCTGTTGAAGTGAATATCAGGAAGTTATGTCGCGGAAAGAATGGGCTGACGGCCACAGCGACGATTGGAACCACGACTGTTACAAGTTACGGGTCACAGCCATCACGTGCTCGTGTGACTCTATAGTACTAAAGTCTAAAGTTTTGACAAACGAGCCTTAGAATCATGGCTGCTGGGAAAACTTCTGGGAGGGATTGCGAGCCTTTCTGTTGCTTATCCAGCCGAAGCTTTGGCAGGACCTCTGCGATGAGCGCTACCAGGGCGAGGGCAAGCACATCCCTCGTCGAACCATCTTCACCGTGTTCAACGGATGTAGTTGTGTCTACAAGTATTCAGGCTTGCTGCGGTCTGGGGGGGGGGCTTGTGGTTGCCATGCAGTCTATCAGTCTATCAGCCACGTGCACTTCTGTCAGAAAGCCAGGCTTTGTTTTGATTCTTGATCGAGGAGTATCCGTGAAGCCCACCATCGAGCCAGACTTTGTTGCCGAAATTCGCGACTGCATCTGATTTCATGTGACCCAATGAATCCGGTGCTTCTTCGAGTCAGCATTTTAAGTGAGCGGTCTGCTCTGTGAAACTCCGCCATGTCGCCGGTTGCAAGCAAACCCTGCCAATCGTGCGAGGCAAGTACTGCGTCGGCGTATCTGGCCTAACGACGCAGCCAAACTGCTGCAATATCAATCTGTACCGTGACCGGGTCGCAAATGGCAAAGAGAACGACTTAAGCCACACGCAAGGGTTCTCTGAATGCACAGTGTGTGCCACAGTGAGACGAACGCAGGCGATGGCAGGGACTCGGTGGGTTGGCACACGGACGACGAGGAGATCTGCACGGCAGGGTTTGGGGGACCTGGGGCTAATGCTACGCATTTCGGATAGGTCTCCCGAGACTCCTAGACAGTTTGCGACTTAGCCGGAGCTACGTGCATCTTATGCTGGAGCACTTAAGTCCAGGCAGGAACCTGCAGCAACAGGCAATGCGCACTGCTTTCACAGGAGCTCTTCGAGGGTGGATACAAAGACATTACTATTCTGAGTCTGTCGCTGGGTGCGACTCGCACCTTCGAGGCGCCTCGGTTCCTAGCTTTGGATCTGTGGACCGTGTGAGTCTTGTATATCCATTATTGAATCGCTCGTGGCAGTTTGGTCAAGCCTGGACACAGGTGAAAAAGCAACCAGGCCCGGGCGCAAAAGGCAACGGCAAAAGCCACAAGGGACCGGCTGAAGCTTCGTTTGAAGTGCGGTGGCTTGCCTCAGTGCCAGAAGGGACAAGCTTGCCAAGCGTATACCTTGCATACGTTTCGCAGGAGAGGGCCCCCTTGCAAGTACCAACAATGGCTTGTACACAGCCTGTGCATTACTGTGCATGATGAGATGAGTTGAGGCATGGCGACATCTGTACCATGGAGGGCATGTTCCAACGATGCTTGACAGCGAACTGTGGCGAAGCTTCCCATACGTCCAGTAGTGTAACTATCGTATCACAAGACCACTCGCATGATGAACGCCTTCCGAGGCCACTACCTCCATGCAGTGCCCAAGGAGCTGGGCTTCCCTCAGCAGCTTCACAGTTGGAAGTTGGAAAGTTGGATGGATTCTCACGGTGTTCCCCACGGCATGGGAGTGCTTTGCAGGAGCCCAAAATCAGGGAGCCCAGAATCAACCTTACCTGGCGTTTCTTGACAGCCTTATGTCTTGTGTGACTCTTGAAGGCTTTCTAGGGCGGCTCAACCATGCTTCAAACCGCGAGGTTGGATAACGAAGCACAACCAGGCGGACGGCTGCCCCTTGTGTGGGCCTGGTAATCAGCAAGGCCCTTTCAGGCCAACAGTTTGCTGAGCTTCCGCCTTCCACCTTGCCGATCACTCCTGCAGTGCGTAAGGCAGGTGCCTGAGGGCGAAAGTGGAAGCAGAATGCTAGCAGAACTCCTCTACTTCTACGGTGCCCGAATTCGCTCAGAATTTCGATGTTCATGGATTGAGATTGCATGTTTCTTCGCACAGAGGCCGAGCCGGCCTAAAGCGGTGCTTTCAAAGAAGTTTCACGTGACTCTGGACGAGCTTGTTGTATTGCGCACCTATGCTGCGCTCCACAAGGCTGCCAAAGAGTCTTACTTCAAGAGGAGCCCATGACCTCTTGGGAGATATCGAAGCCCCGTCCCGGAGTCCTGCACCACCGGGTTTCCACAAAGTCTCAGCGTTTGTCGGTTTGACTGGTGCTGGACTCTGGAGCCTGTCAGCTGACGGTACCGAGTGAGCGCAGTCTGCCAGCGGGGCCACAAATGAGCGCAACATTCATTAGTTACGGCCCGGAATAGCACGCACATATACACCCACAGAACTGAACAGCATTCCAGCACTAGAGGGTTCCGTCTCAGATCCTGAGAGAAGACACATGAAGTATGGCAAACATCGCCTGGTTCGAGTAGAACTTCTGTCTGCTTGAAATCCGCCTGATGTCTTATGGTTCTTGTGTTGGAGGGAAGGTTACGGGATCTGGACAATGTATCGGTATAGGAATGTCCGAAACGAGAAGCCCCACAATTGTCGGGTCGCCTGTGATCGGGGAGTATTCGCGTCTAGGGAATCTAGTGTGAAACCAGTGCTCCCAAGTGAAGCAACATTTCGCTTACATGACGCCATTCTCAGTAGATGCCACTGTTCCAATAGTTTTCTAGAGACAGCACTGCTCCCAGTCGCATAAGAACGCGCTGGGAGTCTATGCATGTCAAGAACCGAGCCCTGCTGATAAGCCCTAGCTGCTTCGTGATGGTTACATGCGGAAAGACTTCAGTTCAAAGCAACTCGCTTACCTGCTGCTCACGCATCGCACTGAGACCGCCTTCTGCAGGAGCGCACGAGGTCGGAGCTACAACGTTTCCTTGCCTCTGACAGCGCGCAGCTGCAAGCAGCGGCGCTGCGGTGCAGGCTGGCAGTGTGCCACTTGCGTTTGAAGAGTTGCCTCCGGTATAGAGCCTTTCTGCTCTGTGCGGGTTGATTTAACGACTGTCTCAGGCAGCTCTGGATCGACATGCAGTCGTATGCTCAGCACATCAGGGCTGACGTGACAGGCTGACATGTTTCTGAAGACCAAGTTCGCAAAGCTGCAAAAGATAGTATGTTATAGTGTATAGTGCTGTTATAGTGTGTCACTGTACTATAGTCTATAGTCTATAGCATCATAATATAAAGTGCCTTACATGTGAGTCGAGTCGGGGACTCTTGGAGGCACGGAGCCGCTCGAAACGTCAGCTCCCCAGACAGGGCGACCTGAGAAGGGCTCTTCAGAAGAAAAGGGTCGCGGAATGCTATGCTACGGTGCAATTATAGTCAGTGTGTTATAGTATTATAATATTTTTCATGATTCTGGAATTAGTATAGTCTACTAGTTTATGTATAGTATAGTATAGTATAGTATAGTATAGTATAGTATAGTATAGTATGTGAGAGAGAGAGAGAGAGAGAGAGTATAGTATGGCAATTGTTATGCTATGCTACGGTATAGTCGTGCGTGGTCTCTGAGGGTCTGAGTTGTGAAAGCTCAGGACAGCCTTGCGGAAGGCATGTTTGCAACACTTGTGAGCTGTCACGGCCCTATGCCACAGATTCTTTTCAGCTGAAAAGGCCTCGACTATGAGGCACGCTTGCAGACCCTGCGCGAGGCCAGTAGCAGATAGTCCCATGAAGCTGTCTCTCGAGCGGTCAGCGATTCGCCGAGTGGTGTTTCGTCGCAGGCTGCAGATCGCATCTCGTGCTCGAACGGTGTGAGCACTCGCCACCAAAAGCCCAGGAGTTCGAACTAATTGGAGTTGAGCACGTGGCCAATGTATTGCCGCCAAAACAGAGGCCGCACAACATGCATGCTGAGCTCGGCTGAGCTCCCTGCTTAAGTGTGGAGTAATCAGTGTCGCACTTCTCTGTTTGCATGTAGATGCCTCGGACACATTTTTTGTTTTGCTTCCAGCTTCACTTAGGCAAACAGTTAGGCCGTGCGTTTCGGAGCAGCAGCTCCGCTCTCTGCTCCATATAAAGGTTTTACCAAGCACAGTGTTTTCCTACAATGTTCTTCAGACGAACACCCCTCACATGTGCGAGTATTGCTAGTCTGGTAGGATGTGGCGACTCATGTGGGCTTGGGGCCCCGCAGTCCGAAACTTGATACTTCAGAGCCCACTCCTAGTTTCGAAGGGCGATCCAGCCTAAGTCCCATGCGCCTTCGAGCAGATGGGCTATCTGCAGAGTGCGGAGGACACTAGAATTAAGAGCAAGTCTATTGACGGAGAGACTTGCGTCTGGACCAGAGTTGCAGTTGTGAGCTTCGAAGCCAGAGAACTTCGGACGGGATCCAGGAGGCCTTGGCCGCCGAGAATTGGCGCAATGCAGCCGAGATGCTCGACAGAAGATGCCAGAAGTGTCAGCTTCACAAGCCGCACGAAGCCTTAGGTCTGCGTCGGCACGTCATGATGCCCAGGGTTCAAAATTCAAGCTTCCGCATCCTCAAAACTCGGTGTGTGGAGAGCATTGGCCGGTGACACCCCGGTCTAACTAAGGCTGTTCAGCAAGGCCATCAACGAGCTTCGGGAGAATCTGGCAGCAGGCTGCCGTGTTGCGTTAGACGCTTCGCTCTGAAGGGTGCGTTTCATCGGCAAATGCCCCCGATGCAAGAATTGCGTCCTAGTCCTGGTCGTATAGTCTATATAACCGACTAACTGCGCCCCGTTAGCACGGACATGGATCAGCCTGGTCAGGCCCCGATGTGGACGGTCTGGTGGAGGCCTACAGTGGCCGCGGCCAGGCCCTGGCCGAGATGGGGCGCCAACGCGGCACGTGCGCCGCCCGAGTCCTGTTCCTGTTTTCTCCCTTAGTTGTGGAAGAGCCGGGTGCAGACACACGGAGGCTCCCAAGACAAGCAGAGACGCTGAAGGCAGCCTTGGCAGATGCCCGTGCGGCCGCCGATGGCTAAGACTGTTTGGATCTGTTTGGCTTCGAGCTTTTCAGGTTTTCAGAAGTGTTTCAGACATCGCCACAAGCTCCAACATCTTATGAGGCTGCCTTAGCTGCACGTGGTGCCGGCGGTATCGGCCCTGCCAAGACCTCAAGAGTCCTGAAGAGTTGCATCAAGTCAGCCAGTGCTGTGTGAGTGAGCGTGGTGCACAGGTGCGGGCGGTGAAGGCACTGCAGAGCACCTTGCAGGAGACAGGCAGGTCGCGCCAGCACTGATGTGTTGGGGTCACTTCGCATGTTTGCAGGGCAAACTTCTGCCACAATCCATATCGAACCCGTAGGACAAAGCCTGGAAGAGGCGCAAGCCGCCGCCAGAGCACTTCTAGGCATGGCAGGGCTGCATGTTGGGTAAGATAAATGACATACCTGTGGATGAGTAGTTCAGAAAAGCCTTGCAAAGACAAGTAAAGATGTCTCATGAGCCTCTTGAGCTGTGAAGATGGCCCTGCTGCTCGTGCTTCCCACAAAGTACATCAAGAACTTCAGCCTTCCTCTTAGCTCGGCAAAATGCCACGACGCCACATTCGACACGTCGAAGCAGCGAGCGCGTTCGGCCAAGGCAGTTGGCGCAGGGCTCGGACACCAGCCGGCACTTATCTCAGGACTATGATCCGCATGATGGGTTCACGGCTGCTACAGGGAGCAGCAATGCGAGCATTGATGACCCAGGCTTTGTGCAGAAATGGATGCTGCTGCAGATGATGGCTGGTCTCCAGGTGACTCTGAAACAATAAGTGATATAGCGTCAAGGCTGCAACTGCCCGTGCAGGCACATTTCGGTGGCCGAGTCGTATGACACTGCTCGGTCCTTGGGCAAGGGTTCTGCCCACCAAGCTGACATGTAGTGTGAGGGTCTTTTCGTCTGGTATCTATCTAGTAGTCTTGGCCTTGCCTGAGGACAGCCAGAAAGGCCTTCCTAATTCACAACTCATGCGTGCGGAAAAGCGAACTCGATCGAGGCCCGAACTGCCTGCTGGAAAGCCCGCTGCGGCTGGGCTGTCTGACAAAGGCTGGACGGCATGGGAACATATCGGTTGTCTTCCGCAAGCTGCAAAAAGCTCAGGTTGGGGACCATACTTGCCTTTGCCCCAGATGAAAGAGAATCAACAAGAAATGTGACTTATATGCGTTCTGTAGTTACTGCAGTTCCTGCGTTGTGGCGCATGGCTAGTGGGCTTCTGCAATGGGCTATGCGAAGCGGCTAGGATGCTCGCTCAAATACACCAATTAATGTGCGTATGCACGATGAGAGTCGAACTAGACTTGTCTGGTGGGAGAATTAAATTTGCATGTGCGTGTGCGAGTGGATTTTCGTGTGCCTCCCTCTCTCTCTCTCTCTCT